GCAATAGGTTACCAAGACTTCTATTAACTATTTCAGTTTGACCGTCAGTATGAGGGTGGTAAGCCGTGGAAAATTTCAATTTGGTACCCATCTTTTGCCACAAAGTTCTCCAAAAATGGCTAGTGAAACGAACATCCCTATCGGACACAATGGTCTTAGGAAGCCCATACAATTTAACAATCTCATTAAAGAACAACATAGCTACTTTAGACGCATCTGAGGTTTTGCTACAGGGGATAAAATGAGCCATTTTCGAAAAACGGTCGACAACCACAAAAATAGAATCATGTTTCTTTGGGGTGCGTGGAAGGCCTAATACAAAATCCATACTAACGTCTTGACAAAGACAATTGGGGATGGGAAGAGGGGTGTATAGACCTGTGTTCTGCTTCTTCTGTTTACTTAATTGACAAGTGTTACAAGTACTAACAATTTTAGCCACGTCTTTCTTCAAGCTAGGCCAATAGAATTGACGTTCAACTTCTTCTATGGTCTTATCACGTCCAAAGTAACCGACTAACCCTCCCGCGTGAATATCCCACACGATGAAATCTCGCACTGAAATTCGAAGGATGCACAATTTATTGGCTCGAAAGAGATGCCCTCCTCAAGTCGAAAGCCATCTGTGGTGTGTGATTGTCCCTTTTGCAAATCGAGAAAGATATCCTTAAAATCGGGACATGCCTCGTGGTCCTCCTTAATCCTTTCAAAACCGATGACCTAGACACTCATGATCGACAAAAGGGAGACACGACGACTTAAAGCATCAGCTGCTTAGTTCTCCACGCCCTTCTTGTGTTTTAAAACAAATGAATAGGCCTGTAAATATTCAATCCAACGACCATACCTAGAGCTTAATCTTTTCTAGGAGTTGAGGTAACGGAGGGCCTCGTGGTCCGAATAAAGGACAAATTCCTAAGGTAACAAATAGTGGCGCCAATAGCGCAAAGCCTGGACCACCGCATACAGTTTCTTATCATAAGTCGAGTACCGTTGTTTGGCTTCATTTAACTTCTCGCTGAAGTAGGCAACAGGGTGACGCTCCTGACTCAAGACTCCGCTTATACCTACACCGGAGGCATCGCATTCAACTTCAAAGACTTTGAAAAAGTCGGGAAGGCGCATGACAGGAGCCTCCGTCATTCGCTTATTGACCAACTTAAAGGCTTTAGCCGCTTGTCGTGTCCAATGAAACTCCCCTTTCTTCATGCACTCCGTAATAAAGCGACGGTAAAATATAGCGAAGCCGTGAAAGCTCCTGACGTCATGAATAGTTTTAGGCTCAGGCCAGTCAATAATCGCCTGAACCTTAGCAGGGTCAGCAAAAAGAAAATAAAAAATTTGGAATCCCAGGTGTAAACAGTACCCGTGAACAGTAACACGAATTTTTTTTTCTCAACAAGGGTAGGAACAAAATGAAAAAAAAAAAAAATTGCTGCTTCTTATGCTAGACCTCTTTCAATTGTGCTGTTCCAACGAAATTTGGGAGAAAAGAAGAGATTTTGGATTGTAAAAGAAAGTACCCAAGAAGAGATTTTGGATTGTAAAAGAAAATACCCAAGATTCGGCTCTAATACCAAATTTGATGCAGCACCAACGGGACAGTTAATTGCAAAATTAGAATAGATCTATGGGGGGGGGAATTAGAGAGAAGAAGGGAAGGGGATTTAACAGAAGGGAAGAAAGAAACAGGAAGAGAGAAAAACGCCATAAACCAATAAATAATATTCATTCATCATCAACTAAAAATTATAATGTAAAATAGGTTTAAATAGTTAAGCAACCCTAACGAGCTTGAGTCCGAGCCCATACAAGTCCAAATCTTAAATAATAGTCCAAAAGATAAATAAAGCATAAATAAAGTTTAAAAAAAATAAGTAACGTCCGATGTCACGTCCGATGTCCTCATCACAAATGCTCAATTGAGAAAAGAAAGCAACAAAAATGAACCCCAAAAGAAAATATCGATATGAATACCTAACAGGCATATGATTTAAAAAGAACCTAAGACTCTCTACCCGTACAAATTCAGGCAATTTAAATCAATTATTTTGGTGTGGTGACATTATAAAAATGCAAAAGAAGCCCAAATATCGTGCTTCGAGTTTTAAACATCAAAAGCAAATTTGCTCAGCCCTTTTGACACAATCCTATGCTCCCACAAATACAAAATATCATCTGACATCTCCAGTTAAGATAATATTCACCACTAAGATATAACCAAATATATACAGTACACCTGGAGGACTCCAACCCAAAAAAAGAAATGAGACCAGCCTGGAGGGTCTTCATTCATACGGTTTCATAACGAAGCCTCTAAATGCACAAGAGCAAAGACTAATAGAGGATGGAATTTTTTCAAAGGTCAGGTTCGAAACAAGAACCTAATCTAATTTCAAAAATGATGCACAAAAACTCTCGAAGATTAACTAAACTCCAGAGTAACGGCATAAAACTAGCTAGTGCCTGACCAGAATTTTAAGCTGAGGTGTCAATCTAATGTCATTCCTAACCCTTCAGTCATTGTCATTTTTATGAACCTGATATAAATGGGCATTTTGTAGACATCTTTAAAGAATGCAAAATACGCATTATGCAGTGATTTCTATCATGCAGTAGATTTTCTCTTTCGAAGGGAAAAACTGACAAAAAATAAACCAACTAAATAGCGTAAAAATATTCAAATGGAAGCAAGAAATAAACTGTTACATGATCTTCTAAACCTGATTGCCAAAATAACTAAATTACTATCTAGTGATCATATTTTTCATAATATTACCTCCTTTTCTTGTTTGATAGTTTTCCCAAATACCTAGAAGCTACATTATTTAACCAATTCAACTTTTTATTTAAAATAGGGAATTAAAAAGTATTTTAGTGAATTTTATATTTATGAGCATGTCTGGTTAAACTTCAAAAAGTTTCAAGTATATATAATTATTGAAATAAATATTTTGTTCTTGATAAATGTTGAAAACAAGTAAATATTTCACTTAGAAGGAAGAAAAAGTAACTTCCCAACACGCTTACATAGTTTCTTAAAAGTAACTTTTACTTATTTTTAAGCTTAGCCAAACATGCTCATATAAATTATTGAATTGGGTATTAAATATAACCAAAATTAATTGAGCTGCCAAAAATATCAAGACATTCTTTGTGTATTGCAAAGAATATAAAAGAAAAATAAAAAGTAGAAGGAAAAATTTCACTTGAAGTAGTTAAAAATAAGAGCATAAAAATCACCACTACACCATCCAATTTAGAAGTAGATTCATATGAGGTTCCAAAACAAGATACTCTTTCTTGCCAAAACAATGAAACTCTTCATGATCTCTAAGGCAGCAAAGGGCAGGTAAGATATCTCACTATAAGACAGGACAAGAAAGGGATTTTTTAGTATATCTTGGGGGGATAAAAGGAAAGGACGCAAATATGTTTGGCTACAATAGCAAGAACATGATCTCTGTTTTAAGCAGCAGGTTAGTGCCAACATGACGACACATGAAATAAGCTTGTTGAAACAGAAGAAAGGACTGCTGAGAGAGTCCAAACAATAGCTAGTGTCTTGTCCTGGAGAACCAGGGGACTACAGTTTATGAGAGTTTGCATATAGTACTTCTCACAGCCAAGCAAATGGAAAGAAAGTGAAAATTTCACACAAAGAGAAGCTAAACCATATAATGAAAAATTTCACACAAAGAGAAGCTAAACCATATAATGAATGGTGCATCAAACAGAAAAATTTACACTAAACAATAATTCAAACTCTAAAAGTTGTATTTGTCATAGACGATTTAGAAAATACCTGTTTCTCATGGGAGCAGTGAATCCCAATGCCTCAGAAGTCATAAACCTATCAATTGGCAGACCAGTTCCAGCCAACGCACAGGCGCCCAGGGGACAGAAATTAATTCTTACCCGGCAGTCTAGCAAACGGTCAGCATCACGGTCAAGCTACAATAAAAAATTGAAATGGTGGTAAGCAGATGTAAGCTGCATGGCTGAACCTAAAATGAAAACATCTCTCACAACTGAACTTGCATAATCCTCTCAGCCCACCAAAGAATTATGAGAACAAAATATAAAGAAGTGTAAATCAAGGCAATATGGATGGAGAACAGCAAAATTTAGTGGATTAACTACGGAAGAGAATACAAGAGAACATGGAAATCCATGTGATCATTCAAACATATGCAAAGACTAGGATATTCCCTACAAAGGATACTCTTTAGTCCTCATAATAATTGTTTATCTGGCTAGACATGCTTAACATTTGTATAAGGGCAAATATAGAGCACACAAAATTCAGCTTAAAGATATTTTCTTTTTTCTTTTTTTGCTCATCTCATGTCAAGGATGCTATCTATATTCTAGACTTTCCATTCATTAGATCATTTCCTTCTCAAAATCTCATGCATTCGTGGTTAATAAGGATTGTTATGTTTGTGAATAATTTTAACTGAATCATTAGAAAGTATCATAAATTTAAATCTATCTCTTTTAAGTTAACTACACAAACTCTCTCTCTGTGACATCTTTTATATTTTTTGCCAGAAGTCCTTACCATGCCACTCCTTATATTTGGTTCATCTAATGAGAATCAACATATAAATTTAATTTTATTTCTGAAAATATAAAAAGAATATTTGATATTGAGTATTTGCAGATGCTAACAAGTAAGGAACTTCTTAGTAAGTGCTACTCTGTAGTCAAACTTAATTAACAGAACCTTCGGCCTCTCTCTCTCTCTCTCTCTCTCTCTCTCTCTCTCTCTCGAGCAACCTGCAGAATCAGAAAAGTTTAAGAATTGGAAGAATGCCATTTGAACTATTACAAATTGGTTTTCAACATTAACAAGAAACTGAAGCTTAGCAGCTGGCCATTCCTATCACAATAGTGCTGATAATGTATACTGACGAATATTGTTTTCTTAAATGCAGCGTACCAAATTAAATGAATATTCTATTCAAATTGATTAAATTTTGTTTATGTGATCGGTTCTGCTCTACACATTCTGTTTCAAATAACATCTTCAATATCAGCAGTAAAAATATTTGGGACTTGGAACTGTAAAAAATTGATGCAATTGAAAAGTTGCATAAGAACATTATACAACCTGGAGATGCCTAATTCGGGAAAGGATGGAGTCAACTGCATCACGACACCAGAGACGAAGGTCAGTGCAAACTTGGTCGTTCCGACTGCGGGCTGTATGTAACTTCTTAGCAGCTTCGCCAACTAAGTCAGTAAGAGCAGCCTCAATGTTCATGTGAACATCCTCTCTATCAGTTCTCCACGCAAACTTTCCATCATCAATCTGCCTCTCAATCTCATCAAGGCCTTTCAGAATGCTATCCGCATCACTCTCGCTTATTAATCCCTGTGAAAATACCAACAAGAATGCCAAATTAAGGGGGGGGAAAAAGAAAAAAGAAAAAAAAAAAAAAGCCCATCCGTTGACATTAGGAATAGTATAATTTCAATTTCAAGATATATGAGACGAGCATTAATACAAGTACCTGGCGAGCGAGCATGGAGGCGTGGGCCCGACTGCCCATTATGTCATGCTTGTAAAGGGCTTTGTCGAAGGAGATTGACTCGGTAAACTTTTCGACGGTTTCGGTGACGCTCTCCTCGAATCTTCCACCCCAAAGCTTGGCCTCCTTGGTGGCGGAGGCAGCGGTGGTCATCTGCATCACCGCGGCGCGTTCGTGGGTTGTTTTTAAAATGAGAAAAAGGGAGCGTTTGGTTGGAGGATGAGACAAGAATAATTGTAATGGATTTGCAGAAGAGGACGGAACAAGGAGAAGCGATTCCATAACGACAGACGGCAGATGCTTATTTGGGAAAGACCACTCGCACAAGTGGGCTACTTTCTCTAAAGAAAAGAAAAAAAGCCTGGTCATGTTAAAAAAAGGTACTCTTACCAATATTATACAATTACGAAATATTATTTTCATTACGTTTGAGCCATATTTTTTTTAAAATATATATATTTTTAAACTGTGATTTGATAATTTTTCAATCATATATTTTTCAATAAAATAATATTACACACAAATTCAAAATTTTTCTTTATTTTTTAACTACACATTTTCCATCAATAAACTATTCAAAAATGCATTTTTAAGAACATAATGTGACTCAAACAAGGGCTTTATATAAAAAAAATATTATAATCCTTTTAATTAATAAATAAATAATCAAACACTTTTCACTTAAAACTTTTAAAAAAAATACCCTGAAATATGTTATACAATTACAAAATATTATTTTATATAAATGACATTACTAGCCTTTTAATTAAGAAATGAAAATCAAATACTTCCCACTTAAAATTTCAAAAAAGATAAAAATACGGCAATATGTTATACAATTAAAAGTATTATTTTATGTAAAAGACGTTACTACCCTTTTAATTAACAAATGAAAATCAAATACTTCTCACTTAAAACTTCAAAATCAGCTAACTTTTCTTATCTGTTTATTCCAATAAGATATCTTTCATTTGTTTCAACATCAAAATCTTATAAATTTATCGAACGCTAAATACTAAAATATTTTTTATATCAATCATTTCGAATTAGCAAGTATTTTAGGGGGTGTTTGATAGACATTTTTATGTAAAAATGCATTTTAAAATAGTAAATTAATGTGAAATGTGTGGTTGAAAAATAAAAAAAATTGATTTATGTGTAAGATTATTTTAATAAAGAATGTGTGGTCGAAAAGGAGAGAAAAAATATATTTTGAAGAAAATAGCTACTAAACGGGCTCTTAATGTATTTTTAATTTCATTTTTGTTAAATTAGTATACGTTTTAATCGATAAATCTTATTTCAATATATACATGTAGATAAATTTTTTCACAGATTTATTATTTTTAAGCATGAAGAAGAAAAAATTCATCTGCTTGTATATTATTTCAGATAAAATCCATGGTAACATTTCTTAATAGATTTAACAGCCGATCGATTATTACAACCGGCTATTTGCCGACTAGTCAACTTTTTTTGAATAGATTTTTGTTGCCGAATGATTTTTCGACTATTTTTTTTATAATTAAATATTTTGTTTCATCATGTAGATATGATTGCAATTCCGTTTGTTATTTTAGTTATTTCGAATTGGATGAAAAATATCGATATATATGGAAATGGATGAGTGATATACATTGTGGAATTCCAATTTTCACAACATCAAGAACATCATATGCGAAATTGTACAATGATTTACAAAACAAACTGAATGTCGATACCTCTCATAGCGATATGGAACTGAGATTTCAATTCAACGAGCATTCATCCATTCTATTCTATCCATAAAGGTGATGTTGAAATGAATTATCTATTTGAATTGAACAAAATACACACAACTCCTCTTTGCGTGACTTCGGTGAGGGAAAATGTCATCGAAAATGAACACGAAAATTCGGATGGAGGGATCACAATGTCAATAATTTTTGGGACATAGTGAAAATAGCTCGTGATGATGATGTAGTTATTTAGGGACATTTGTTCTTCATCATGATCTTACTGTAATGCATAGAATTCTCTCGGTAGTTCACGACAATAAGAATGAAAATAAATTTACAAATAAAGATTTAATTGTTTTATCCTATCAAAGACATGAGATAGGTGAAAGTTCCGGGGATAAATCGAACAGATCGTCCTCTAACTATTTGCATATGGTTTTCAACGATGATGAGTTCCATGTCAAACAACTGTTTGAAATAAAGAAAGATTTACAACAAGATGTGCAATGAATTGTACAGAAATATACTTTGAGTTCAAAGTAAAAAATAAAAAATAAAAATCAAACAAGTCATTGATGACGATCATCTCCATCGACGACATTTGTCATTGACGTTTGCAAGTGACAAAGATGGATACGAATAAGGTATTTGTTGTTCGCAAGTATAAACAGGAACATACATTGAAATGATCACGACAAGCCCAAAAAAGTTTATTGGTCGACAGATGATGCAAAAGTATCAGGACCCATGAACGATTTATAGACCTTCAAACATCATTAACGACGTCCATCGAGAATACAGAGTGGTTATGAGCTATTAGAAGAACTGGAAGGCCAAGGAATGCACATTGGATGATTTAATAGGCTCAGTCGAAGAGTTTATGCTAAATTGGCCAGATTTTATCATAACATGAGGAGACAGAGGACGAGAATTACTTTAAGTTTTTCTTCATGACTCTTGGTCAATGCGTTCGAGAGATTTCGAAATACAATGCGATCCCTAATTCTAGTTGATGGTACAACTATGAAAGCTAGATATGAAGGCAAGTTCATTATTGCTACCTGTCAAGATGCCAACATCCAAATTTACCTTTTTTGCATTCGGCATAGTCAATAACGAGAATGATCTGTCGATGCGTTGGTTTTTCATAAAGTTGAGAGAAGTAATCGAATAAGTCGAAAACCTAGCATTTGTAACTGCCTGAGGACCATCTATGATAAATAGTATCGCTAAAACTTTTCTCGAGGTACATCATGGGTATCGCATGTATCATATACAAGGCAACCTGAAAACTAGATATCGGGACAAATGCATCGATTTATTGTTTAAGAGAACGGCCAAAGCTTACATTGTTCAAGAGTGTAATAAATTCATAGTTGGAACAGGAAGTAAATCATTCCAGGCAAGCGAGTATCTAACAAAAATGGGAATTGAACATTGGATGCACTCACATTTTCTAGGACGTCGATACAATATCGCCAAACAATAAGAAGTCTTTCAATGCATTATTTAAGAAGGATCAAAATTACCAATCCTCGTAATGATCGAGAATATTCGTAACGAGTGCAGCAGTAATTTCATGACTAACGTGTAAAATCATAGAATTGCATGAGTGTACTAGCCCTAGCTCAAGATGATAGAATTTTCGATGCTGCAAAGGTTGCAAGGAAGTTGAATGAGAACCATTGGATGAGTTGCGTTTTTCCGTGGAATGTCCATATAATATGGTATACACGATGGACTTGATTGATAATACATGTACTTGTAGTCAATTTCAGTTGGAGAGTTTTTTGTGTGAGCATACAGTCACTGTGGCTATGTATAAAAGTTTTACAGCGAGAATATTGTACTCTCCTTATTACATGGCTGAAGCACCATCCACAGTTCTTGAAAATACGTGTCGTACAGCCTATTACCTCTTTGAGTACTTTCGTGGTCTTCTTCATTGCCTATAATTTTCAATCCAATCAACACAATCTCAAGCATAGAGAAACTACAAATCTTGCCCTCAAGGTCAAAGTGAAGAACATTTCCATTGACTGGCCTGAGTAGGCGACATATTAGTGCATCAATGATCTACCCATAGTACTGCATCTCTCTCAATTGATACAGGGGCTACAAGAATGACTACCATAGCATATCTGTGTGCTGATCATCAAGCAACTCCAATATCGTAGTAAAACTATCAAAGCTACTGTTTCAATTTGCTTTTCATACCATTCATCTCAACTCAGCATCCAGATGGTACTTCATCCTTCAGAAATACAAATGTTAAAACATTTAATAAGAAATAATGGAACAAAGTATAATCTCAGAAAATTAAGCGAATTGAATTGTTATTAATTTATAATTAAAATAGATTCATTTTACACTGATGTTAATAAAAAAAATAAATGACTTAATAAATTAATAAAGAAGCACAAAAAAAATTACATACAAAACAAAAATATAAAGAAAATAATAAAAAATCAAATAAAGAATATAAATATTTTCTTTAAAAATACTTAAATAAAAAGAATTTTATATATATATAACAATTTAAACTTCTTTATTTAATTTAAAAAAAGAATTAAAATTTCTTAATTTATAAATTTAAAATATATAAAAATAAAAAAATTATTAAACAAAAGGAAATTATAAAAATTAAATAAAGAATATAACTATTATTTAATTAAAATTGAAAAAATTAAGATTTATTATAAAAAGAATATTTAATTTAAAAGATTTCTAAATTGAAAAAGTATAAAAGAAAAAAATGACTTAGGTAATTTAGTTAAATAGTATATTTAATTTGGTAATTTTTAATTTAAGCTTCTTTATTTAATTTAAAAAAGGAATTAAATTTTCTCAATTTATAAATTTAAAAATAAATAAAAAATTGGCAAAAGAAATAAAAAATAAAGAATAAAATATTATTTAATTAAAATTAAAAAAGTAAAGATTTGTTTAAAAAGAATTTTAAATTGAAAAACAAAATGAAAGGAGAAAAGAAAAAGAATTTGGTAATTTGGTTAAAAGGAATATTTAAGAAAAGAAGGAGAGTGAGGAAGAAAGATGAAAATAGGAATGTATTCACTCGTAATTTTCAATTTCAACTTCTTTATTTAATTTTAAAAAAGAATTAAAATTTCTTAATTTATAAATTTCAAAATATATAAGACAAAACAAAAAATTAAACAAAGGTAAATAAAAAATATTATCGAACTGGGCTGAAAAATAGTCAGCAGCCGACTGCTCTTGCTAGAATTCGCCATTTCCGACGAGAAGAAGCTTGAATGTAGCTAAAAATATATATAAATCACGTCGGCACTCAATAATCTGCCTAAATAATAAATGATAAACGTCATAACTCTAAAAAATTTGAAAAAGATAGTAAATGAAAAATCAATCTCCTAATTCCAAAAACACTAAGGGTCCATTTAATTGCAAAGATGGAATTGAATTGAATTAAATTGAAAACGAATTTCAGGAAATTGAATTGCCTAGAAATTATTTTCCAGGGAATTGTAAATTATTGTATTGGATTGTTATAATTTTTCACGTGGAAAATGTTGAAATAAAAGTGTTTTTTAATGTTCATTTGACTTTGTTTTACATAAAAATTGTCAATTCAAGAGATAAAATTAACTGGCATTGGAT